AACTGCTAGAAGAAAACATAGTGTCAACCACTCCATCATATAAGTGCTGGCACCAACTTTCTTAACAAGACCCCCAAGTGCAAGAAATAAAACCAAGAATCAATAAGTTGGATACCATCAAACTGAAAAGCTTCTGCACAGCAACAGAATGATTAAGAGCATGAGGATAGAGACTACAGACTGGGAGAAAATATTAGCTACCTACTCCTTCAATAAGGGATTAATATCCATAATATATAAAGAACTTTAAAAACTGAATACCAAAAGCAAAGAATGCCATCAATAAATGGGCTAAGGAACTAAACAGACACTTCTCAGAAGAAGAAATACAATCAATCAGCAAACATGAAAACATGTTCATCATCTCTAGCAATTAGAGAAATGCAAATCAAAACTACTCTAAGATTTCCTCTCACTCTAGTCAGAATGGCAGTTATCAAGAATACAAGCAATAATGAATGTTGGCAAGGATGTGTGGGAAAAGGTACACTCATACATTGATTGCTGGTGGGACTAAAATTTGGTGAAACCACTCTGGAAAATAGTATGGGAGATTCCTCAGAAAACTTGGAATGGTACCGCCATTTGATCCAGTTATCCTACTCCTTTGTTTATATACAAAGTACTTAAAATCAGCATACTACAGTGATGTAGCCACATCAATGTTGATAGGAGTTCAACTCACAATAGCTAAACTATGGATGCCCTTCAAGATATGAATGGATAAAAAATGTAGTATATATGAAATGGAATATTACTCAGCCTTAAAGAAGAATGAAATTCTGTCATTTGCTGGTAAATGGATGGACCTAGAGAATATTATGCTAAGTGAAATAAGCCAATCTTCCCAAAATCAAAGGCCAAATGTTTTCTCTGATAAGCAGATACTGATCCAGTTTTGGAGGTGAGTAGCGATGAATGAAGGAATTTTGGATTGTGCAGAGGGGAGCGAGGGGAGGGGAGGGGTTGTGGGGATGGGAAGGATGGGAGAATGAGACAGATATTATTACCCCATATACATGTATGATTACACTACTGGAGTGACTCTGAACAGCCAGAGGAATGAGAAGTTGTGCTCCATTTGTGTACAAATGCCAAAATGCATTCTATTGTCATGTATAACTAATTAGAACAGATTTTTAAAAACTGTTTTTAAATTAAAATATAAAAATAAAAATTTAAACAACAAAAGAATACAAATAACAATAATGCTGGTGAGGATGTACAGGAAAAGGTGCATCAGTACTTTGTTGGTGGGCCTACAGTTTGGTACAGGAGGGAAGGATAGGTATCATGAAGATATAGGGATGATTAGTAGTGTAGAAAAAGAAGATTGAGAGGCAGAGTGGAGGGATGGGAAGGGGAGGCAATACTTCTTTAAAAAATAATGTCGTGTGCATATATAAATATACCACAGGGAATTTCACCTTTATGTATAAATAAAAAGAACCAATTTAATATAAATAAATAGATGAGCAAAAGGGAAATCTGTAGAGTAGAAGAAGGAGAACAGGGGAGGGAAAAGGGGGGATTATGAACTGAAATTGTATTCTATGCATGGGTGAGTTTGTCAGAATGAACACAACTAATATTATAACTATAAAGCTCTAATTAAAAAAATAAAGCTGGGTGTGGTGGTGCACGCCTGTAATCCCAGTTGCTTGGGAGGCCGAGGCAGGAGGATCATGAGTTCAAAGTTAGCCTCAGCAATGGTGAGGCACTAAGCAACTCAGTGAGACCCTGTCTCTAAATAAAATACAAAATAGGGCTGGGGACGTGGCTCAGTTGGTCCAGTGTCCCCGAGTTCAATCCCCAATACCTCCCAAAATAAATTAATTGATTAATTAAATTTTAAAAATAAAAACATACAGTTTTAAAGCAAGAATTCAAACTCAGGCATCCTGGCTTTACTCTATTATTGCTCAAATTATAAACATATATTAAATAGTTAAATATAATGTACATATACATTATATATGTGTGTACATATATAATACACACACATAAACATTTAAAACATTTTATGTAAAGTAAATTCTATCTCCTAGTAGCATCTCTGCAACCAGAAAGTGTAAAAGTGAATATAGAAAGCAGATAATTGAGACATTATGGGTACGGCACTTTCAGAGCCTTGGAGAAAGTAGTAGTTAAGAGGACAGATAATCAATAGCTGAGACTGACAAAACCTATCAAGAGGGAACTTATTGAAGGACACTCTATATTTAACAGAACACAGGATTTAAACTCATTCATGCTTTTTCAAAGTATCCCCCTCGTGCGTGACAGCCGGGCCATGACAATGGTTCTAATTTTGGACCAATAGTATCAGGCAGGTAAAGGCAAATAGGAGTGCAACCCAAATAGGGAGTACAACAGTGACACCTTATGGGATAAAAGAGCAATGGTTTGATAAAATAGGTTTTCTTGGCATTGGGAGCTAGAGATGGACAGGAAAACAGATTTGAGAATATTTGGGAGGCAGAAGAATGGAAAGGATTTTGTGAGGCCTTGGATGTAGTAGATTTAAGGAGGGGGAGTAATAAAGGATCACCCTAAGTTTCCTGCAAGACCAATTCACTGGAGTGTAAGTATGTTCTTCACTGTGCAAGGAGGTCCAAGAAGAAGAATAGAGTTAGAGGGTAAGAAGATAAAATATGATCAGCAAGAAGGATGAAAGTAGACAGAAAAGAAGAAGATGAATTTTAAGATGCACTAAATTCCTACTGCATGCCATATTGAATGCCAGAAGCACTACAAATAAATCTCCTTCCTGTAACCTTGAATGCATGCCCAGGTTACAAACAAAGAAACAGGAGCTCATAGATCTTAAGTCACAAAGCAAGTGAAAAACTGAGCCAGGATTCTAAATTCAGTGCTTGTCTCTCCCACCTACTCCTTTCAAAGGGCCAGTTGATTCTGAACTAAGGATAAAGAAACTAACAAACTAGAAAGAAAGCATAGACTTCTGTATCAAGGTGAAGCAAATCCCGCCTAAAATAGGGCCAGAAAGAAAGCAGACCAATTACAGGCCCTCCCTTTTCCTGCCTTGCCAACTTGAACCCCCTGCACAAGAGCAACAAGTTTTAGTGGCCCATAAGATACCTAATGAGGCCTGTGCATCAATTTGCCAAGGAGCACAGGCACAGAGGGCTAGGCAGGCACACTCTTTCCCAGCCCTAATTCCAAGGCCTCTTCACCTTCATAAAAAAGCAGATTTGGGGGATCATGGGTCCAGTAGTACTAGTCTCTGTAGGAAGTAGATACTATTGATTACTCACTATCCTTGGAGGGTAAGTGAGGGAACAGAACATCCTCCCTATTTCCTAGGGAAAAAAAATAGCTGGCTTACATCATGAGCCTCTCCAAGACCATCTCCTAGCTGAGGTACTTATCTAGTACACAATAGCATAAGACATCCTTCCCCTGGGAGAAAAGAAAAAACAGGGGGAAATATCAGGTGGAAAACCAAATTTCTCAGAGACTGAGGGATATCAACAAGTGGGCTTTGACCTAATAGGGATAGAGGCAGCAAGAGGAGGGAAACCGAGACAAGCTGAGGAGGAAACAGAGAGCAGAGTAGTGTTGAGTCCCACTTTCTATATAGAAGTTTGGGATGAGACCACCACCTTTTGGGTTGCCCTCGTGCTAACATGAAATAGCCATCACAGAGTAGAAACCATGATGTGATATGTTGTGGCAGAAGAAGCCACCTCTAAAGCTTATAAGTCTCCGATAGTCTTAAATGGCAGGAGATTCAGAAAGTAGCAGAGAAGTGACAGCCAGTGACCTGGACGAGGTTTCTGCATGGAGAGTTGAGAGGCCCTGAAGTAAATACTATGGGGGTGGCTAGCTCAAGACAGAGACTGGATGAAGGATTTACTAAAACCCCAAAGATCTGTCATTCCAGAAGGAGCCAAGGAGGGGCCAACATAGGAAGGGTAATCACTATGTGACCCCATTAGGCCAAGAAGACACATCTCAGCTACATCAACCAGGACACAGCATCACTAGAAACATCAATGTCAGGACCAGGCAAGGATGTAGCAGGTTTGGGGGATCATTCCAGCTTCCAAGGACCCCAGGATTTACAAAGTTCTGTACAAAGAAAAGCATGCAGCCCAGCAGCCCTCCTCAGTGCCAGATGGCATCTGGGGAAGGAAAATTGAACAGAGGACACTTAAGAACAACATCAACAACAACAAAGAAACCCCAAACCCAGAACTGTGGTATGAATTTTGAATTCGCCGAATACCCAAAACAGACTGAATTAGATCAGTGGCTGCTTTAAATGAAAAAAACTTTCTTTAATTGGGAAGGTAATGATCTTCTATCACTACCCACAGAAGTTAGGACTGAAGAGTGAGATAAGATCAGTTAAAGAAAGTAAGTGTTTACACATACAAAATTTTTTGGTACCAGGGATAGAATGCAGAGGTGCTAACTGAGTCACATCCCCAGCCATTTTTTTTTTTAATTTTGAGACAGGGTCTCACTATTTTGCATAGAGCCTCACTAAATTGCTGAGGCTGGCCTTAAACTTGTCATCCTTTTGCCTCAGCCTCCCGGGCCACTAGATTACAGATATGCACCACTGCTCCCAGCTTACACATATATATTGTGGCATAAATTCCCACTCTGTTACATGCAGAGAAGGGGTACCCTAAATTCCTGAGTACCTCTGTGAAGAAACTGAACTCAGTAGCCCAAAGAGCAGTTAAACTTTCTATTAAGTCACATTTAGGTTAAATTACTTATATGTCATAATAATAAAAAATGTGGGGCAACAGCAATGTGATTCCTAGAGAGCATAGGGAATGAGCTGAGCCACTAGTGATCATAAATTTGATGCCAAAGGAAACCGGCTAAGTCCTGGAGCTCTGGGAGGCTTCAAAAGTCCAATTAGGGCCCTGTGCCAAAGGTCCCTGGAGAACATTCTAAGGACAAAGCAAGCTATGTGGACAGACATAAGGAGGAAAGGAGGGAAAATAAGCAGTACTCACCCAGCTCTGCCTTCATATTGTGGCAGCTAAGCAGCAGCAACTTTCCTCTTGTCAGCAACTCAATAGGCATATTGGAGACACGGGTCTGCCAATCATTCAGGGAGCTCACCAGCTGTATGTAGTTCTTGATGGGACAGCCTCTCATGTCTTCCAGCTTCTGGGGCCCCCAGGATTTCAGGAATTTATAAATATCTGTTATCCAGTGATGTTCCCTGCAGAAATCTTGCACCTCCCACTGCATGTCCTAAGTGTAGACAAGGTGATTAGGGCAGAAGGGGTGGCTATGAGGAAACTGGTGGGCAGTATTCCATTCCTTAAACCTGTTCTCACCTCCATCAGTGCATGTTGTATATTTAATGCCTGGTGGATTCGAAGGTTGTTGTCTAAGTCTTCCTGTAGCTGATTATAATTGGGGGGCAAGTACTGGCCCCGTAGCCTGTGCCCATGGACCTCCAGGAGATCCGCAATTGGCTGAGACTTCCAAGGTTTTACCAATCCTATTCTAGGGCCACAGAATATACGAACAGCATTGCTGGGTTGACCCAGGAACTTGGGCTTCAGGAATTCTATGTTTGAGTCTTCCTCTTCGACTTCATCATCTTCTAGTAAAGCACATGCATATCTAGTGGAGTACATCTGGAGTGCCTTCCAGAGCCCCTACACATATCTTCCCACCCTGAGTATGTGCACTTATATCACACCACATTCCCCATCCCCTGCCCATGAGTTTATAAATACATACACATCACAAACACAGTAAATCAGACCCCAGGAAGGAATTTGTTAGAATTCAGGTGCAGAGAGTAGAATTTACTCTAACTAGTGTCACAGGAAGGGAATTATTCCAACAAGTTATATGGGTTGCTAAGCATTCAGTGCTATGTGCAAATTGGGATGTTGATGCCACACCAACCAGCTATAAAACACTGTATCTGCTATGTACAATCTGCAGAATGGATGGCATATATGCCTTTCTCCCCAACTTAATTCCTGGTTGAAGTCTCATGTAGACCTAATTAATGTATTCAAAATCACATATGACACCTAGGTGCAAGGGGGTCTGGGAAGTGTAGTTTATAGCATTCCAGCTTCCACAGAAAGAGTGGGGAGTGGGAAAGAATATTGAGCATGCCAGTCCTCAAGTGTCTGTCCTAACAAATATCCTTGACCCTAGCCTCCCCCTTAACACTTTAGGAACTGGTTAATTGCCAAGATCAGGATTCCTGTAAAAACTTTTTTTTTTCAAAACAAAAAAAAAGGCAAAAAAGCATCAAAATGTTCAGAAATTAGATCTGTTGCACCCATATCTAAACTACATAGTGCTTCTGAGGCTCAGACCTCAGATCTCTTCTCCATCTTACACACTCCCTAGGTCTCACCCAGCCTCATAGCTTTTAAGTACCATCTAGTTGTATCCAGATTTATCCCTAGTCCAGGTCTCTCCCTGAATTCTAATCCCACTTAAATGACTGCCTACTCCACATCTCTATAGATAATCTAACATACATTCAAACTTAACAGGGACAAAAATGAGCTCTGATTTCTTTTCCCCACTTCATTGAAAATTCTTTCTTCAATAGTCTTCTAAATTCAGTAAAGAGAACTCCATTCTTCTACATTCTCTAGTCAAAATCTTTAGTCATCTTTCACTCTTCTACCCAAAGCTAACTAATTCTCACCATATCTACCATCACCTGCCCTATCAGGGAAGTCCCAATCACCACTTCTCTCACTGCATTATTGCAATACCCTTCTAACTTTTCTCCCTGGTTTGGCCATTGTCTCTAACACCTTACAGTTTATATTCCACATAAAAACAAGAATAATAACACCAGAAGGGATTCTGAGATGATAACAGTAACAATATAGTTTCAAAATCCCCACATTAATATAATAGAGCAATTAAATAGCAAAAAAAAAAAAGTGGTTAACATTTTTAACAAATGGGGACAAGGGATCCTTACAAATTCCAAAACGTAAGTGAGTAGGGACAGACCACTCACAGCCTCAAGACCCACATGTATCAGGATTTGTGAGTAAGGAGATAGAGGGGAATAACAAGACAACAGACAAAACAGGAAAAACCCCAAAATATTTTGCAGTACTGGGGATAGAACCCACGGGTGCTTTACCCCTGAGCTACATCCCCAGTCCTTTTTGGGGGACATAGTCTCACTAAATTGCCCAGGCTGACCGCCAATTTATAATCCTCCTGCTTCAGCCTTTCTATTCATTGGGATTACAGGTATGTGCCACCACACCAGGCTTTTTATTTGTGGTGGTGTCTTTGTTTTGGTACTGGGCTTGGAACTTAGGGGCACTTTACCACTGAGTTACATTTTCAGTTCTTTTTATTTTTAATTTTGGAAGACAGGGTCTCACTAAATTGCTGAGGCTGGCCTCTAACTTTCAGTCCTCCTCCTTCAGCCTTCCAAGTCATTGGGATCATAGGCATATGTCACCACAAGTGCTCATTTTAGCCCTTTTTAATTTATTTTGAGACATGGCCTTGCTAGGTTGTAGAAGCTGTCCTCATACTTGTGATTCACCTGTCTCGGCCTCCTAAGTAACAGAGAACATGCCTGGGATTACATTTCATATTTTCATAAGTAGGAATTTTGGAGTATTTTGTAATTTGGTTGCTGAGCTATATAAATCTTGTCTTATTTAAGTATAGATTTCTCAGTTGGAGGTATGTTTCTTAAAAACTATTAGTAAAGTTTTATCTGCTACATATTTATTTTATTGAAAATTGCTCCATTTTTCTTAAGAATCTAGAGACAATCTTAAATCAGAACTTTGGTTCTATTTCTCCATTATATTAATCTGATTTTGCAGATCTTTTTCCCCTGAAGTTTTTTAATATGTATATTTTTAATTGTAGATGGACACAATACTTTTTATTTATTTTATTTTTAAAGAATATTTTTTAGTTGTAGTTGGACACAATATCTTTATGTATGTATGTGGTGCTGAGGACTGAACCCAGGATTCACACGTGCTAGGCTCTACCACTGAGCCACAACCCCAGCCCTCCCCTAAAGTTTTATACAAAAGTTTCAAGAATGACACTATGAACTCTCTTATCCATCCACTTGGATTTAATAACATTTGTCACATTGTTCTGATTTTCCTTCTATGTTTTAGTCTCCCCTAAACTATTTGAAAGTAAAATACAAATATCATGACATTTTACTCCTAAATACATCAGTCTATGCTGCTCTTTAAAAAATGGAATGGATGACCTTAGGCATTGAAGGTGGTATTTGAAATTTCAGAATTTAGAATAAAAATTTAAGTTTTTAAAAACAATTCCAAGGAAGTTAAAGCAGCATATAATGAGAAAATACAGTGAAGAGTCTGATTTATTTAAGTCTTTAATACTAATAATAGTAGAAGATCTGTAGCATGAATTACTAAATACTCAGCACTATTCTAGACACATTACCTCTTCTAACCTTCAAAACCATCCTTTTTCTTAGGTAGTTTTGTTATTTCCACCATGCAGACCAGTAAATTAATGTGTTTCATTCCAAAGTCTTTCCCCTTTCCGATGCACTATGTAAAACAAATATCAATAGTCTCTATAAATTAACCTAAACTCATTTTTGGAAAAAGGGTTCCCCAAACACTGTGATTTGTAAAAAGAAAAAAAAGGCTCTTTTTATTGAACTTTTTTTCATTGTCATCTTTTCCTTAAATTAACTTCCTCTTTAAATCATTGTAATGAAGACATTATCAGTTAAATGGGAAAATTAAAAAGCATCTATATGTCAGATATGATTTTGAATACATTTCATGGTTTTATTTGTGACAGTATTAGTACTCTAAATAAAGGAAATGTAAAGATGTATTCCTTCCCTGAGGGTTAACAAATTTGAGAATATCTCAATAATACTAATGAATTATTCCATAGGAAATGAAAAGAACTGTATAAATTAAATATTGAATGAGTAGAACTCTTCAAACAAGTCCAAATTAACCTAGCAATCTAATTCAACAGGCTATAAAATATAACTATGATGTTAGAAAAAAAAACTTAAGAAGATGAACCAGGGGAAGGACAGTGTACTCACACTCTTTATATTCTCCCTCACTGCACATGAATTAGCAAGCAAGAACACCCCCCAACTCTCCCAACTCCCAACACACATGTGCAATTCCTAGGTTAGAGCTGGTCCATTCATACCCAAGGCCTGCCTCTATAGCTTGGGCCTCCTGATCATTTCCCATACCATTCATGCTCTTTATGTTCCCTTCCCCTCTTCCCAGCCTTCCTACTCCCTAAATCTCCTTGAATACCTTCAGAATACAGGAGATCCCTGGAGGTCTTCAGGTCTGCAGACTGCATTACCTTCATGTTAGGATATGGAGAAGAGGAAGAAATCGGGGGAAAGAACGGATTCAAACCAGTCTGAGAGCTTCTAATAACAGACGTAGGAATCAGGGATTTTTATAGCCATTCCCCTGCCCAATTCAGATACCTGCAGAGCAGAGTTCTTGATAGACTGTAGGCCGCCAGTTACAATCTGGATCATATTTTCAATACAGGGCACTTGTGATAGCTGGCCACAATCATCACTGAAGACCAACTGTGATACGAGAAAGGGTTTTTGCCTTGGAGCCTGTAAAAGAAGGGTCAAGAAAGATTGTGTTGCTATATGTCATTATATATCTCTCACCACCTGGCCCTTGAATGCCTTCCCATCTCCACCCACCACCTCACTTGTAGGATGTTGGCGACAAAAGAGGTTATTTCATCTTCTAAGATTGAAACAAGGCTCTGACAAATCATGTAGTTGATCAGGCGGGCCAACTTTCCTAGTTGCAGTAACCATGTCTCTGCTTGCTTCAGCTTCTGCTTTAGCTTCTGGCACTGTACCCTCTGAGTGCATATGGAGCCTTGACCTGTTTTGTTGCAGTTTTGCACATATTCCTGCAGCTTCTGTTGCATGTAGTATGTATCCTCATGAACCTGTCAGCATAAAGAGTGGAAACTAACTGGAGATAGAAGTATGGAGAGTAAATAGCCACCCACTGGTCTCTGCAAACAATCAGGTCTAGAACCCAGAACCTAGATATGCACACAGAGTGCTCCTTTTAAGTTGAGATTAGCCCCATAATTTGTTTTGACTTGTTTGCTGGTTTTGGCAGTACTGGGGACTAAATTTAAGGCCTTGAAAATCAAGACAAATGTACCACTGAGCTACATTTTGAGCCCCAGCCCCAGAATTATTATTATTTTTTTGTGGTGTTACGGATTAAATCCAGGGCCTTGTGCATGCAAGGGAAACACTCTGTCAACTGAGCTATATCCCCAGCCCTAGCCCAGAAATTTTTATGTGACCTGAGAAGACACAAAATGCAGGACATCTTTTAAGAGGAGGCCTAATGTGCTAATGCAATAGGCCAGCCCTATCACATATATTTTGAATATATTCAAAGCCCTCAGGATGGAACTTTAGAAAATTTGTGTCTATAGAACTTCACTAATCATCAAGAATGCAAGCACCAATAAATGTTGGTGAGGATGTGGGGGAAAAGGTATACTCATACATTGTTGGTGGGACTGCAAATTGGTGCAACCACTCTGCAAAGTAGTATGGAGATTCCTCAGAAAACTTGGAATGGAACCACCATTTGACCCAGTCATCCACTCCTAGGTTTATACTAAAGGACTTAAAATTAGCATACTACAGTGACATAGCCACATTAATATTTATTGCAGCTAAATTCACATTGCTAAATTATGGAACCAACCTAGGTGCCCTTCGACTGATGAATGGATAAAGAAACTGTGGTATATACACTTTAAAGAAGAATGAAATTATGGCATTTGCCAGTAAATGGATGGAACTGGAGAATATTATGCTAAGCAAATCAAGCCAATCCAAAAAAAATCAAAGGCTAAATGTTTTCTCCAATATGGGTATGATAATTCATAATAAGGGGAGCAGGTAGAATAGAGGTATGTTGGAATAGAGGAGAGTGAAGAGAGGGGAGGGGGCAAGGGAGTAGGAATGATAGTAGAATGAATCAGACATTATTACCCTATGTGCATATATGATTACATGGCCTGTGTAACTCTGCACCATGTACAACCAGATGAATGAGAAGTTATACTCCATTTATATATGATGTGTCAAAATGCATTCTACTGTTATGTATAACTAATTATATCAATTTTTTTTAAAAAAGAAGCAAACAAACAAAAAACACCAAGAACTTCACAATACATAGAACAGACAAAAAAAATAGGTGAGTAAAGCTCAGCAATAATTCCAGAACATGGACTTAACCATTAGGTCTGGGTAATGTGGCCTGCTAAGTAGCATAATATTATTTTATGTTCTAGTAAAAGCTATTTCTGGACACTAACAGACTTTCTATTGAAGGAGGGGAAATGTGGGACAAAGCTTGGGAGTCTCTTTGGAATTATTCACAGATCTAGGAGGGTTCTCAGCCTATGCAGAGAATTGATGATTGTCAAGTTCTATTGAGGAACATAAGGGAGAAATAATAAAGCTATACTGGTCCAGATAGACCCTTTGCCCTTGATGTTGTCCTGTTCCTTGCGATGCTGCACAGAGCTCATGATTAGAACTGATTGGTCCAATCTGTGGATTGTGTTTACACTATTCATGTGCTCAAGTCTCAGTCTTCAGAACTGTAGTTAAGTCCTAAGCAAGGCACATGATACACAAACATGTCCTCAGGCTTGGTAAAGTGTGCCCTTCCCACCACATAGCCCTTAGTCCAGAACACCATCGTTATCTAGAAACTTGTATGGCTCATCCACTACACTGTGAGCTCCTTAAGGAAGGACCCTCTATTAAGCCTCATTTCATTTTTTAATTGCTTAATATGGTGCCCAGTATCAAATAGGTCCACCGTAAATTTTTGTATAAAGAATATAACATCTCACATGGAAAGGGTCTACTGAGCATCAATTAGGATAAAATCACATAAACAACAACAATAATAATTATTACTATAACGGAACATAGTTGATAGACACCAGCACTAGGCATACTAACTTCTAAATTATGAGAAAAAAATTTTTAACCCTGAAATCCTATACCTTGCCATAGTATCATTGAAGTTGAAGAATGAATAAATACATACTTAGATATACAAAGACTCAGAAAATTTACCATCCAAAGATTCTTCCTGAAAAAAATGAGTAATAATTGGGCTGGGGTTGTGGCTCATTGGTAGAGCACTTGCCTAGCATGTGTGGGGTCCTGGGTTCAATCCTCAGCACCACATATAAATAAATAAGGTAAAGGTATTGTGTCCATCTACAACTAGGGAAAAAATTTCTTTGAAAAAAGGAATAAGATACTTCAGACAAAAGAAAATGAATCCAAAAGAGTAACATTGTCTTCAAGAAGCTTTAATGGGCAAAGAAATTGGTGAAACATACTGTTAATTTTATATGAATATGTTACAAAACAATACTCTTCTTAACAATGCAAAACTGAAATTCTAGATGGCAATGTAAGAATAATAGGAAGCCAGACAAAAAGAGGAATAAGAAGAATGAGGAGAGAATGAGAGAAGAGAAAGAAAATTAGGAGAGTACTAAGGTTCTTATTATGCTTGGGGAAAGTTATGAATACAAATTCACACTTGTCATTCATTCAGCTAATACTCACTGAGCACCTGTTTTTGGCATATCCTGCAATAAGCACTGGAGATATTTCAGTGAATTAAATAGATAAAAATCCCTGTCCTCTGTGGGCATAATGAATAATGACCAAAACATAATGAATAGTTTACACTGTATGTGGAAAGGTGGCAAGTGCCACAAAAAAAGGAAGGGAAAGAAGGGTTGGGAGTCCTGGTGCTAATTTTAAATAGGGTGATCAGAAAGGGTCTCCCTGAGAAGGTACTATTAGAAAAATACTTGAAAGAGATTGTTATAAAAATTTGAGTGGAACAGCTATACATATGCATTCAACTGCAGGAAACAGAAAACTAGAAAAAATGTGGCTTAAGCAAGTAGAAAGTTTATTTATTTAATGCAATAAGAAATCCAGGGCTGAGAGTATATCTCAGTGGTAGAGCATTTACCTAGCATGTGCAAAGGCCAGGGTTTGGTCCCCAGAATGGCCCAAAGAAAATAAAAGAAATCCATAGATTTGGCCCAATATCAGTCAAATCATTTTGTTTTCTCCATTTCTCCATCCTTAGTATGACTTTCACCCTAATCACAGTGATACGGCTTTTCCATCACCAGAAATTTCATCCAAGGGTTAGCTAATAAGATAGGAAAGGTCCAAAAATACATTTCAGGTGGATCTACCTCTAAAATTTTTTCCAGTTACTTTCACTTAGATTTCATTGCCTGTAACTGAGTCACATATCCACCATTCCTCAACAAGTAGAGTCTATGAAAAGAAACAAAATCACCAGTCAAAAACTAAGAAAGATGAGAAGACACTGAATAGTGCCTGAGCAATCACAAGAATAAAGTATATAATATCCAAATTACTACAAGACAGTGGGTAGCAACAAAAATGTAAACAATCCAAGAACAGAAACATAGGAAGACTCAACTAGAAATAATAAGAAACAGAAAACACCAAGATAGAGTCTAAATCTATCAGTAATCATAGTAAATGAGATAAACCTGTTACAAGATTTAGACTCTCAGACTAAATTTTTTCCCATCTATTTATGAGAGATACACAAAAAGTAAAGTAATAAAGTGTGCTTCAAAATAAAAGGGATTTAAGGAACTAGGGAGAGGGAGGAGGACAGGGAAAGAAAAAAAAACTGAGGAATGATATTGCTAAATGTATTGTTAAATTGTGTGCATGTACAAATGTGTAACAAATAATCCCACCATTAAGTACTAACTATAATGTGCCAATAAAAATATGGAAAAAATAAAAACAAACATAAAATATCCTCAGGAGACTGAGGCAGGAAGATGGCAAGATCAAGGCCAACCTGGGCAACTTACCAGTACTCCATGTCAAAATAAAAAGGGCTGAGAATGTAGCTCAGTGGAAGAGCATCCCTGAGTTTTTAACCCGGGACCACACACACACACACAAAAAAAAAAAAAAAAAAAAAAGAAAAAAGAATGAAGACTTTATTTATAAGTCACACAAGAAATAATGTTATGAATCTTTATGCACATAACAACATGATTTTTAAATGCATGTTACAAAAACTGAAAGAACAGCAAGGAATAAATTAACAAATCTATAGTCACAGGGGAGATATTTAACATGTACTATTCAGAAGCTGAAAGATAAAATAGGTCAAAAAATTATTGTGCCTGTAAGGATATTTGAATAAAGTAATAAATGAGCTTGGTCTAATAATGCATGTTTTCTAAAGTTGATTTTCCTAGAAGCAGACCCTGAGTATGAGATTTTGGAAAATATGATTTATTGAAGGAAGAAAAAAAAAAAACCCTAAAGGAGTAAGGGAAGCAGAACAGAGAAGAGGAAAGTGCTTGGCAAGATCTCAGCTAAAGGTTACTTTTGGTCTGACGTGGAGGGGCAAGGAGGAAGCAACCCTGAAATGCACATCATACTATAGAGTAGTCCTATCTTGAGTCAGAAAAGTCAAACAAAGTCATAGCTAGGAAGGATTCCATTCTTGCATGCATCTGAAGTGGACTATCAAAGATTCAAGATAGGTTCAAAGATAATCCCAGCAGCATAAGAGATCAGGATTCCAGTTTTTAAACTCCTCAGTACTCTAATTCCCTATTGTCAGCACAAACAACTGACAAAACAGACATGATCCTAGGCTAGGACCAACCCTCAGGAAAAGTTGAGTCCCAGTGTCTGCTCACCTATTATTGATCCATCTATTTGCAGAGACTGCTATTGCTGGGCAGGACAACGGCTCTGATCTAATTACAGAGTCGTGTCACACAGAGGATCCTGTAAAAGAAGACTGGAACTCTGCAGAGAGCAGCTGGGAGAAAAGGTTTATAATAAACTAGGGCTCCTTACCAGTTTAAGAATAGATGTACAGAGCTTCAGAAAGTGATTGAGTAACCGTAGAGCCTTGTAGTTCTCCTTGGCTAGAGCCTTCTGCAGATCTTGGAGTTCATAACATCGATCTGGCTCCTGGGGTAGCCAGGACACAGAATGGAACTCCTGCAGAAGCCTAGAATCAAGGAATAAGCTAATTAGGATAGAATCCCAGCTCTCTCTCTTTACACACCTTTGATTTCTTCCCAGACTGAGCAAATGTTTACAAAGACTGTAATATTTCCAATAACCAACAGAGACAGCTTCCTCTTCAGAGTTCTCTGGAAGAGTTCAAGCCTAGAGAGTTTCTGGCTAGGAAATTACTTGGAAGAGGCTCAGGGTATGTAAAAATGTTTATACCTAGTGACATCTCTACCAGGAGAGAGGGTCAGATAAGTTCTAAGGTTTAACTCAGAAAGAGACAAAGGGGCTTCTTCCTTGGAATAGGGAAGCTGAAGGCTCCAAAAGTCTACATCAACAAATCAGTTTTAGGATCAAAAGTAATGATACTGCAAGTCCTCTATAGGCTGACTACCCCTGAGGAAGCCCATTTCTTTTCCCCACTTCTCCCCAGAGAACTCCATATCTCTAAACATCCTTGAAAAATATGAAAGGCCCTCAATAAGTAGACAGGATAATCATAACAGGTGTCATTTATTCAGTGCCTACTAAGAGGCATGGAACTTGGTACTTTATAACCACAATTTCATTTAATTTTCATTATAGCTGTGCAAACATAAATCTTTATCCCAGTTTGCAGATCAGGAAACTGAGGCTTAAAGAGTAAAGTCCCTTGCTAGTATTCAGGATCTAAATTCTACCCTCCAAAGTCCTTATGCTTTCAATTACATCAGGAGGACTAGGTAAGACTATAGGATGGAAACTGCCTAGAACAGAGGTTGCAAACTCATGACCAATGGGTCAGATTCATACTGAAAGTTTTTCAATGTGCTCCAGTATGGTGTTTTAATTAAAGTTTGAGCCAGAGAGTTAAAATTAAGAAATTTCAATACAAAATGTAGACTTCAGGAAGTCCTGAAAAATAAGGTGGCTGATCATGCTGAACTTATATTCCCAAATGACAATTAGTTGAAACTGAGTAGTGATTGTCCTCTTCAGATGCAATCTCCAGATTCCAGTTCCCCCCAAGACTCCCAGTTTCTTCACCTAACCTCTTTACATTTGGCATTCCTTCAATACCTCCTGCTTAGGCCCCATAGCTTTTTGATTCTTCAACTCCTATCACAGAATATGCTTGTGAAAAGCTGAAGCGTCATGAAGGGAAGGCAAAGAAGTACCAAAAATAAGGATAACCAATATTTTCCCAAAATGAAAGGAATATAAATAATAGCATTGAAAGAACAAAAAAATTGGATTCAAACATCTGAATTAGACCGCTAGACTTGATATTTAATAGTTGTGTAATATCTGGGACAAGATAATATAGAACATGTAATTACATGGAGATATGTTCAGATCATGTTACATATACACTATGTAACATATGATCACATAATAAAATCATCATAGTGATTATTTAAGGGTGGTAGGATTAGAACTTTATTTTTTTCCTTCATGCTTTTTTGTTTTTATTTTTCCAACAATGAACGTGTTGTTATTTTTTGCCAAAATATTTTTTAAGGGGCTGGGGAATATAGCTCAGTTGGTAGAATGCTTGCCTCACATGGGTAAGATCCTGGGTTCAATCCTCAGCACCACAAAAAAATAATAATAACTTTAAAAAATCCATTGAAGTTGGGTTTTTAAGACTTTACCTGTTAATATGAAGCAGCCCAGCTCCAAAGTGGGGTATAGCCAAAAGCAATTGATTACCCAGGAGAGTCCGGAGCCGACACAGCCCCTGCAACTTCACATTCTTCTTCCAACTACAAATTACAGGTCAGTAATAATTTACTATTGCTCTCATTCATTTCCCCTCCAAATCCCAGCCCCATCACCACCTACCAGGTTAAAGCTTTGCGCAAGAGGAAATTCTTAAAAAATGGAATGAACTGAAGTTTTTGCCATAGAACAGAGTGGCGGTGCCAGGTACCCAATGTCATCGTTTCACTGCCCTCCACAGGATGTACATGCAGAATCCCAAAGGGAGAAAAGATGTAGTGCTCAGGATTCACTTTGTTTGGTGGCACCATTATCAGATTGTAGGGCCTTTAAAAAATAGCTCTGATTATTGGGAACCAAAGGGACTTGTGTAGATTTTAAGAAGAGACAAGAGAAGGATGGGGAAGATGGGAAAGAAGGCAGGAAGGAAGGCAGAAGACAGGAAGAGGGGAAAAAAGAGAGTTACATTGTTTTTAAACTAAAAAGATGGAACAATATTATCAAGGAATTGAAGCCAAAGATAGATGAAAAGGAAGAAAAACACCATGTAGCTTGTTGCAAGACATTTGTATATCCCAACTCAGATATCTTATATCTAATTTAAGACACCACCAGTTGTAATCTGTAGCATTATTTTATGAGACACTAAGATAAAATAAATGCTTCCAATGTGATACCCTATCAATTTGTAAGATGCACTTCAATTTCAGAGATGTGAAAAAAATGTCCATCGTAACAGTGGTTACCAGAGCCTGTGAAGGGTATGGGGGAGGAAAGGATAGAGAGAGGATGATTAATGGGTACAGGGATACATCTAGATAGGAGGAAAAACTTCTAATGTTCTATAGCACAGTAGGAAAACTATGGGTGACAACTATTAATTTACTATTTCTAAACAGCTAGAAGAGAGGATTTTGAATATTCTCAACACAAAAAAAAATGATGAATGATGCCGGGCATGGTAGCTCATGCCTATAATCCTTGTGGTGAGGGAGGCTAAGGCAGGAGGATCACAAGTTCAGAGCTAGCCTCAGCAATTTAGCAAGGCCCTAAACAACTTACTGAGTCCCTGTCTCAAAATAAATTAAAAATGGGCTGGGGATAAGGCTCAGTGGTTGAACACCACTGGGTTACAGAAAGAAGAAAAGAAATGATAAGTAATATTATTTGATAAATGATAAAAATGCCAATTACTCTGATCATTACACACATAAATTGAAATACCACATTCTACCCCATAAATAGCTAGTTATAATATTACAATAAAAAATAAAAAATATTGGGACTGGGGATGTGGCTCAAGCAGTAGTGCACTTGTCTGGCATGTGCGGGACGCTGAGTTCGATCCTCAACACCACATAAAAATAAAAAATAAAGACATTGTGTTCACCTAAAACTAAAAAATAAATATTTTTTAAAAAATAAAAATAAAAAAAAATATTCAGTTGGGAATATAGCTCCATGGTAGAGTGCTTGCCTACTATATGCAAAGGTCTAGGTTTGCTCTCTAGTATTGCAAAATAAAAAGATAAAAACTTAAAATTTTAAAAATATTTTTAAATAACTAAGATTAAGATCTAATGAGATAAAATGAAAGAATGAATGCCTCAAGTCATGTGGAAGGGGAGAGTTGTTTCGTCCCAGAGATAAAACTAGGACCAAAGATAAAAGTTTTAAGAAAGTAGATTTTTATTCAGTCTAAGGAGTAGGATGCCCCTAGAAAAAACACAGCTTCCCAGATACTGTTAAGATTTAAACATCTGATTCTTGCACTGGAGTTGAAAGAGATCATCATTAAATTTGCTTCTGAGGCTATGACCAAATGTTTCTCCAGTATAGAATAGAATAAAGAAGAGGAAAAAAGTAAGAAAAGGATAACTAAGACAAAATGCTACAGGAGCAAAAGAGGGCAAAGATCTGGGCATGTTTTGTCTCCTGAAATGCTTATTAAAGTGCACATAACAGTAAAAAAAAAGAAAGAAAGAAAGAAAAAGGGCAAAGAGGAGGTAGAGAATGGAGAGGAGAAGGCTGAACAGAAGAAGGAGGGAAACTGGGAGACAGAGGAAGAGTATGTGGATAAAGAACAGGGAGAGGAATGTACATGGGGAGAAAAAAGGGGGGCTAGATAGCATGGGAGAAAATCAGGGAGTTGGGGACGCAGAAAAGGTCTGGATAAAGGCTCTTACATAAAGTACCGACTGGGAGCCACATTGAGATAGAAGAAGTGGATGCTCTTCAAGTATTTCTCTGAATTCAGAATGGTCATCACCTGGCTACCCAAGAAGGAAGTCTCAGGTAAGAAGCCAGTACTTCTCTTTGGTAAGGCCTTCTCCACAGGAACTTCATAGTCAAGTTGAGACCTGAGTTAAAAAAAAAAAAAAAAGGAGGGAAAATGCAGAGCAAAGAGGTCAGATACCTAGAGGTGGGCCTTGCCACCTTTGGTCAGTGAAAGGAGGAGCTAGAGGGGATGCGATATGACACTGTTAGAGCCTATCTATCACCTACACAGATGTCAAATACTGAGAAAATACAGTTTGTTCTATACCTCAGTCATGGAGCTATATTCACATAGACTTGTGCATGACAACCCCTTCCTTTCTGATAAATGAATAACCATTTTGCTTTAAGTGTGATTTCTGTCAACTCAGTATTACATAAAACTATGTACAAATAATGGGAAGACTATTCTCCCAACTCATCACCCTATAAGCCTACAGTCCTGGATATCTTCCTTTCGGTCAACCTTGCTAACCTTCTGGATCTTATCTCCTACCTCTGCTCCCATTATACCTGCTTTCCAATCCTGCCTGGTCTCCATACTTTTGCTCACTCTTGCTCCTCCCATCATCACTCAAACTCTAGCTTCAGACCTTTTACTTTCCAGCCAATATCTATGGTGTATTCTTCAACCCCCTCAAGCCATCACCAATACTCTCATCTTCTTACCCTCCTACCATACTGGTCAACAAAATTGCTGAGATAAGTCATCCCATGGTTAAAAGTGCAATTCTATCTAAAGTTTATATTAATAAATAGGGTTTATGACTTTTGTGTTAGAACAGGACATTTTAAATGGAATAACTGCTATTAAAGTTTCATTCTCTTCCACAAGTTTTATTTCCTCAGCAGCTGAAGTCTTACATGATATAGTAGATTGATAGGATCAAAGAACCATGAATATTGACTCCTCTATGAATCTCTAGTATTCAGTTTTGACTGTGGGATCATTCTACTTTGCTGTCTTAGTACAAGCCATAAGCAGCCACCTCTTTTGGGTTGCTCAATCTTATACCTAATCCCATATCCAGCCCTGCCAACCCTCAGTCCCACACCATTCTTTACTTCCTTCCCCGTTTGGAGAAACAGGTTCTGAGCCATGAACTAATACCTTGAACGCCAGTTGCCTTTCCACACACTTATCTGTCCCCCAGTTTGAAAGAAAGAGTTACTCTTTCTTCTCTACAAAAGTTTCTCTTTCTAGGCTGGGGCTGTAGCTCAGTGGCAAAGTGCTTGCTTAGCATGTGTGTGGCACTGGGTTCCATCCTTAGCACCACATAAAAATAAAATAAAGGCAACTCTGTCCATCTACAAGTATATATAAAAAGTTTCTCTTTCTTCTCTACAAGGTTAATTTCTTGATCAATGCTCTGGATCCCTTATACCCCCTCTATGATATATTTTAAAGTTCCTCTTCTTATTAAAGAAGCACTTAAAGGTTATAAACTCTCTTCTTTTTCGAAAGGAATCCTATGTAGACACCAAAATTCTTTCAAGTTGCTGTTCTACTATCTCATTCTTCAAGAATTTTTTCATGAAAAAATACTAAATCAAGATTTCCACTTCTTCATCTTCCATTCATTCCCAAATGTACTACAATCTGCCTTCCTCCCCACAAAACTCCATTGAGACTTTTCTCACTAACATATTCCTATTATTAACTCAATATTTTTCAGATTCTTATTCTTGCCTCCATAGAATTTATTACTACTGACTGCTGCCTCTTTGAAATGTTGTTTCACTTCCTAACCTGCAAGATATTTTGCTAAGCTAATCTATTTTGTTAACCAAATTCCTCTGAGTTGCTTTCCCCAAACTGTGTATACAAACACACATCCCAGAGAAGCCACATGAAAGTAGTGGGTTTTTTGTTTTATATTTATAATTTTTAGTTATAGTTTATTTGTATTAAAGTGTCTATATGTATAACACTGGGCATAGTGGCACACAGCTGTAATCCCAGGGACTCGAGGCTACAGCTGAAGGACCTAAAGTTCGAGGCCAATCTCAGCAATATAGCGAAACCCTCAGCAACTTAGTGAAACCCTGTCTTAAAATTAAAAGGTCTGGGGATGTAGCTCAGTGGCACCCAGCTCCTGGGTTCAATCCCCAGTATCAAATATAAAAATTTAAAAAAGATATCTATATCTATCTCCCTAAATAAACTGTAAGACTCCAAGGGAAAGTCTTGTTCACTTCTTATGTGCCCAGCAACCTAGCAGTTTCTGACATATATATATAGGTGTCCAATAATACTTATAAAATGAATGAATGAATGGGAAGCCAGCCCTGCAAAACTTAATGTAAATTAAGCTATATTAGCTAGACAGAGGTTTACCACCAGGTTCCAAGAGAAGGAGAAGAACCTGATCACGTCTCAACGTCTTAGACTACTGCCATTTCAGTTAAGGTCCCCAAGGAAAGAAAACTCATATTTAGGGCACAGGAAAGCTCTTTGAAAAAGCAAAAGAGCCTACTGGGGCTATTGAAGGTATAAATTATTGTCACTGGCTATCTTGCATCAGGGTTCCAGGAGCCAGCCTATCTGTCCACCATTAGGGCTCTGAGACTTCAGGAAAAACTTGACCTAGCCATAAACTTAAAAGACAAAAATTGAAGAATCCAAGCTTGATTAAAGATTAAACTAGGGAAGGAGAATATGGAAAAGGCAATAGGTGCCAGGTCTGGCCATGAAGGTGGCAAAAAGACATCTCTGAAACAGCCAAGAAGCAGGCCAAAGAGATGGATGTAAAAAGCTTTCAAGCAGAAACATAAATGAGAAGCAAATGAAATTTGAGGAGCTAAAGTTGAAGGCTGCGGGGAAGAGTCCCCTAGCCATACGTTGAATTATGAAATCTGGCAAAAAGTAAGCTGTTCCTTATGCCTGAGATGATGGTGATACTAATTCCATTCCTTTCTAATGACTATGACTCCCTTGCCATAACATCTTTTGTCACTTATTGCTAGATGAGTGTTGTCTGGGAATCTGTTGTTAAATTTTAAAATAAACTTATGTAAAAAACCAAAAATCATAGTGTTCATTTAGCCATTCCTCAGCAACTCTAAATTTAAAGTAAACCCAGCCTAGAACCCTGCCAGAGTCTGCTCTTTGGTCTTTGTTCTACTCTGAATTCTGTATCACTTAAAATTAACTCATTTACCAGACGAATTCACAGCTGATTTCTATAAGACCTACAAAGAAGAATTAACACCAATACTTCTCAAATTATTCCATGAAATAGAAAAGGAGAGAACTCTTCCAAATTCATTCTACAAAGCTAGTATCATCTCGATACTAAAACCAGACAGAGACACATCAAGGAAAGAAAATTTCAGACCAATATCCCTGATGAATATAGATGCAAAAATTCTCAATAAAATTCTGGCAAAAACATATTTTAAAAAAACATTTTATACATATGTTATTTCTGACAAAAACATATTTTTTTTTCTCAGCTTTTTTTTTTATTGTTGGCTGTTCAAAACATTACATAGTTCTTGATATATCATATTTCACACTTTGATTCAAGTGGGTTATGAGCTCCCATTTTTACCCCATATACAGATTGCAGAATCACATCAGTTACACATCCATTGATTTACATATTGCCATACTAGTGTCTGTTGTATTCTGCTGCCTTTCCTATCCTCTACTATCCCCCCTCCCCTCCCCTCCCCTCCCCTCTCCTCTTCTCTCTCTGCTCCCTCTACTGACATTCGTTTGTCCCCCTTATATTATTTTTCCCCTTCCCCTCACTTCCTCTTGTATGTACTTTTGTATAACTCTGAGGGTCTCCTTCCATTTCCATGCATTTTCCCTTCTCTCTCCCTTTCCCTCCCACCTCTCATCCCTGTTTAATGTTAATCTTCTTCTCATGCTCTTCGACACTACTCTGTTCTTAGTTACTCTCCTTATATCAAAGAAGACATTTGGCATTTGTTTTTTAGGGATTGGCTAGCTTCACTTAGCATAATCTGCTCTAATGCCATCCATTTCCCTGCAAATTCTATGATTTTGTCATTTTTTAATGCAGAGTAATACTCCATTGTGTATAAATGCCACATTTTTTTTATCCATTCATCCATTGAAGGGCATCTAGGTTGGTTCCACAGTCTAGCTATTGTGAATTGTGCTGCTATGAACATCGATGTAGCAGTGTCCCTGTAGCATGCTCTTTTTAGGTCTTTAGGGAATAGACCGAGAAGGGGAATAGCTGGGTCAAATGGTGGCTCCATTCCCAGCTTTCCAAGAAATCTCCATACTGCTTTCCAAATTAGCGGCACCAATTTGCAGTCCCACCAGCAATGTTCAAGTGTACCCTTTTCCCCACATCCTCGCCAGCACTTGTTGTTGTTTGACTTCATAATGGCTGCCAATCTAACTGGAGTGAGATGGTATCTTAGGGTGGTTTTGATTTGCATTTCTCTGACTGCTAGAGATGGTGAGCATTTTTTCATGTACTTGTTGATTGATTGTATGTCCTCCTCTGAGAAGTGTCTGTTCAGGTCCTTGGCCCATTTGTTGATTGGGTTGTTTGTTCTCTTATTGTCTAATTTTTTGAGTTCTTTGTATACTCTGGATATTAGGGCTCTATCTGAAGTGTGAGGAGTAAAGAGTTGTTCCCAGGATGTAGGCTCTCTATTTACCTCTCTTATTGTATCTTTTGCTGAGAAAAAACTTTTTAGTTTGAGTAAGTCCCATTTGTTGATTCTAGTTATTAACTTTTGTGCTATGGGTGTCCTATTGAGGAATTTGGAGCCCGACCCCACAGTATGTAGATCGTAGCCAACTTTTTCTTCTATCAGACGGTGTGTCTCTGATTTGATATCAAGCTCCTTGATCCATTTTGAATTAACTTTTGTGCATGGCGAGAGAAAAGGATTCAGTTTCATTTTGTTGCATATGGATTTCCAGTTTTCCCAGCACCATTTGTTGAAGATGCTATCCTTCCTCTATTGCATGCTTTTAGCCCCTTTATCAAATATAAGGTAGTTGTAGTTTTGTGGATTGGTTTCTGTGTCCTCTATTCTGTACCATTGGTCCACCCGCCTGTTTTGGTACCAGTACCATGCTGTTTTTGTT